TTCCAGAAAGGATTCTCCAAGGGAAAAAGATTCCCCCCACCACCCAACACCCAAATGTGAGCAGTATCATCTCATGGGAACCTAGAGAGAATAAAAGAAGGAGAAGTCCAGCAGAAGGCCTGCATTTCCTCTCCACTTTCTGTCCACCATGAAGAAGATTCTCTGCCACATGCTCTTGCCTCTATGATGCTCTGCCCAAGTGCATGGGTCCAAGCAACCATGGACTGAACATTCTGAGATTGTGAACCAAAATAAGTCCTTCCTCTCTTAAATTGTTTTGTTAGCTATTTGGTCATAGCAATGAGAAAAGTAATACATAGCTGAAACTTGATCAGTTCTGATTTTAACCTTAGGCTGATCCCATGAGGGGTCATGAAGACAGTGTATTAAATCTATAAGTGTAGATATATATTTTGACCAACTTATTAAAAAAAAGCACATCAAAGACTTCTATCTTGCATGATGTTATCTTAAACTGTCACTATAGGTTGTGTGATCTTTTATAATGATGTCCCCAAAATATGATGAAATCAGAAAGTCAAGGGCACAGATAGCAATAAACTAACTAGAAACCATGTCTGCAATAATTTCTACTGACAAGGAAGGCGTGCTGTGAGAATTCCACCTCTCTCTTTGTTGCAAAAAGCAGAAGGTGAACTAGCAGGAGCCAGAAGTCCTCTGGCCATCCCAAGGACAAACATAGCATTGTTTTCATGGTCCATACTCAAATGCCTACTCTGAGTACTCCAAAGAGCTCAGAGCATCTTGCAAACTTCAGTGGGAATGCAGCAGACATGGACTTTTTCAAGGCTAGCTCTGTATTCTAAAATACCCAACTCATCTTACCGAGTGCAAGTTGATCAAGGTCTAGGTCTCATTAAATTCAAAAGCACTAGTCTTTCTATATCTCTTATACTTTTGGTACTTTTTTCCCAAATTGTTTGCATTTACAGTGCAGTACAGAGAGATGGGAGTCTTTGTCCTCATTTCCAAAATACCTGCTCTTGGCTCCACCACAAAGCGTCAATAAGGTGAAAGAAATATTGCGGGATAGCTGGATTTTTTTTTCAGTTCTGACTGCAACAGAGTAGATGTCAGATTAGTCATTTCTGTCTACAGTTTCACCCCTGTGGTCTTCAAGCACCTAATATGATCAGCATTCTCTATTTTACAGATCACGGACAACCAGTCCGGTTATGTTATACCTCCCAAACAAAGTAAGCTCATATCTGATAAGAGAACTCTTCTCTCATGGCAGCCTGTTTATTGGAACTGGTGGGAGAGCAGAGTAAGCAAAGAGGAACTGAAGAGGCATGCAGGGAAAGGGTCTGAGGAGGAGATGACAGAGGCTTACTGGCTCACTTGCTTCTGTTCCCTATGCCAATAAAACTGGATGTGACTAGAACCATTTGCATATATGGCCTATATGTTTCCAGACTAAAGAAATAATATTAGCCATGATATTATTTCAGCCCTGGGTAGACCTAACTACAACCAGCTGAATGCAGTTTTCTATGATCATCTAGTATCTTGCACAGATATAATTGCACACAAGTCAATGCAATTTCAACTAAATATTCAAATTATTTCCTAATATTTTGTTTGTTGAGTCAGGTTCTCATTTTAGAAATAATTTATTTTTATTTTATGTGTATGAGTGTTTTGTCTGTGTGTTTGTAAATGCACCTGTTTGTGTAATGCCATCTGTGGTGGTTTGAATGAGAGTGTTGTCCGAGTATTTGGACATTTTTGTCCCCAGTTGGTGGCACTGTTTTGGGAGGTCTTAGAAGATGTAGTTATGCTGGAGGAAGCACATCACTGGGGGCAGTGAGAGTACTTAAGCTTCACCAGATCTCCAGTCTCACTCTGCTTCCTGTGCCTGTTTGAAGATGTGAGCCTCTGCTTTCTGTTTCTGCTCCAGCCACCCCCTACCACCATGCCTCCCCACCAATACGGACTCTAATTCCCCTGGAACTGTAAGCTCAAATAAGCTCTTCCTTTTATAAGTTCCCTTGGTCATAGTGTTTCATCACAGCAACAGAAAAGTAACCAAAGCACCCTTAGAAGCCAGAAGAGGGCATCATATTCTCTAGAACTGGAGTTTTAAGGACAATTGTTGGCCACCATATGGGTGCTGAGAACTGAATCTAGGTCTCTGCAAGAGTACCCAGTGCTCTTAACCACTGAGCCATCTCTCCAGCCCCCACACTCCCATTTTTCAAACAAGTGCATTAGCTAACTGACAGTAGCTAAAGTTTGAATTTATAATCCCCATATGAAGTCAAAAGATCAGTATTGTATTTTATAAATGAGAAAAATGAATACCTCTGATACTTCTTTTCCTCCTTTGTTCATATTGTACTTTTCTTTCACTTATCAAAACTTGACCTAAAACATGAGTATAAAGTGAGGCATGGTGTGGTACATACCTGTCATCCCAGCTTTCAGGAGGCTGAACCAAGAGGTTTGAAAGTCCAAGGGAAGCAAGACCCTCTCTCTTCTCTTAATCTCCCCCCCCCAAAAAAAAACTCCATAAAGCTCTGTGGCTGTAGCCTAGTTGGCAGAGTACTTACCTGCATCCATTAAGTCCTGGATCAATATCCAGCACAGTACAAAAGCCAGGCATGGTGTCACTGTCTGTATTCCCAGCCTTTGGCAGAGCATGTGGAGGCAGGAGGATCAGAAGAATGTCATCCTTGACTACATAGTCAAAGAAAGGACGGACTACATGAGACCAAGAAAGAAAAAAGAAAAAAGAAAAAAGGGAAAAAGGGAGAGAGGGGGGAGGGAGAAAGCGAGAGAGACAGGGAGAGGGAGAGGGAGGGAGGGAGGGAGAGAGAGGGAGGGAGAGAGGGAGGGAGAGAGAGAGAGAGAGAGACTACAAAGATAGATATATTGAGCAATGGAATGGAGTAGAATAGGACAGAATAGAATAAAATGCAGTGTCCACAAATAAACCCTCACATACAGCTAAATAATTTTCACCAGAGAAGTCAACATTATTTAATGAGGAAAAGGACAGCCCCTCTGCTCTCCTCCTCTTCCTCCTCCTCCTCCTCCTCCTCTTCTTCTTCTTCTTCCTCTCTGTCTCTCTGTCTCTGTCTCTGACTCACTCTTGCTCTCACTCTCTGTCTATCTCTGAGACAGAGCCTTACTCTGGAAGGCAGCTATGCTCACCACTATACCACCAACGCTGGGCCTTACTCTGTAGCTCAGGCTGGTTTAAAACTCACTATGTAGCCAAGACTGACCTCGAACTCTTGATAGCAGTCTTTTTAATGAATGGTGTTGGGAAAATTTATTATCCACATGCAAAAGAATAAAGCTGCACTCTTAATGTCATTCACTAAATTTACTCAAAGTGAATTAAATATAAAAATGAAAACTATAAAACTATTTTCTTCCATTGCAATAATTCCTGAGTAAAATCTGTTTATGCTATTAAAAAAACAAACAAACAAACAAACCGTAAAACTCATAGAAGAAAACACAGGGCAATAGCTTTACAAGATTGGATTTAGCAATGAGTTTATTTGCACCTGAAACACAAGCAACAAAAGAAAAACTAGACAAGTTGGACTTCACAAAATTTTAAAACTTATGCATAAGCAGGCATTGTAAATAGGGCAAAAAGTCAACTTACTGGGAAAATATTTATAAAATATACAAGATAATGGTTTAATGTTCAGAATACACAGAAATTTCCTAAAGCTTAATAGTAAACAAACAAAAAAAACCAAAAACAAAACCAATCTAAAAAATGAACAGAGGACTTAAACATTTCTCCAAAGAAGTTATATAAGGGCCCCTCCCAAAAAAACATGAAAAATGTTCATTATCATTAATCATTGGAGAAATGCAAACCTAAACCATGAGATACTTACGCCTGTTCAGAGGATTACAAACAGAAAACACTGTGTACTCTTTATGTGACTGGAAAATGGTTACAGCCATTGTAGAAAACAGCATGGTAGTTTCTCATAAATTAAAATAGAATAATTATATGATCGCTAGCAATTCTACTTCTGTATAGATACTCAAAAGAACTGAATGTAGAGTCTTGAACAGAGGTTTGAACACCCATGTTATAGAAGTATTATTCTTAGTAGCTACAACATTAAAGCAACCCAAGTATTCATCAACAGATAAATGAATAAGCAAAATATAGTTAGTGGACAATTACAGTGTCATTAGAATGTATTACTCAGAACTAAAAGGGAAAGAAAGTCTGAGATATGCTATGACAGGGATGAATCTTGAGGTATCTTGATGAGTGAAATAAGCCAGTTGCACAAAGACAGATACTGTGACTCCACTTAAGAAGTTACCCAAGGGCTGGAGAGATGGTTAAAAACACAGGCTGCTCTTGCAGAGGACCTGGGTTTGAATCCAGCACCCACATGGCAGCTGACCTCTGCAGGCATTGCATGGCATGGGTGAACTATACAGGCAATACACTCATGCACATAAAAAAGTTAAAAAAAAATATATGAAGTTACCTAAAAGCTGGAGAGATGGCTCGGCAGTTAGAGCACTGACTACTCTTGCAGAGGACCTGGTTCAATTCCCAGCACCTACATAACAGCCAACAACTGTCTGTATCTCTATTTCCAGGGCAATCCAATGGCCTCTTCTGCCCTCTGCTGGAATTGTAGGTCATGAGCATACTTAATACACATGTGGGCAATATACTCATGTGTATAAAATAAAAATAATAAAAATTTAAATGTTACCTAGAAGAGTCAAATTAGTAGAGACAGAAAGTGGAATGCTGGTTTCTGGAGCTGAGGGGGAAAGATTGCTGTGGCTTAAGGTGTATAGAGTTTCAGTTTTGCAAGATGAAAAGAGCTCTGAAGTTGGGTGGTAACAGTGGTACACAATAGAAACAATGCAAACTATATCCTACTAAACTGTAACTTAAAAATGCTAAGATGGAAATTGTTATGATATGTATTTTACCACAATAAAAAAAATTAAAAAGAAAATAACTTTACCTACAGAATCCACACATTACCAGTCATGGAAGTGCATGCCTGTAACCTAGCACTCAGGAGGCTGAGGCAGGAGGATTGCAGATTCAAGGTCGGCCTGAGTTACAAGGTAAAAGTTTGTCTCTCAAAAACAAAACAAATCCACAATTGATTTTAGCTATGTATGAGTTGTACTTTGAACTTCAAATAAGTAAAAGGTGAATGCATTAGATAAGCAACATGCTAGGCCCCAGGTTCCTTTACCATACCATGAAATTTATATTATTCATCACTGTATCCTTAAAACTAAACACAGTATTTATCTCATATCAGGTGCTCATTGAATATTGGTTAAATATACAAAAGGGTTTTTTTCTTCTTTTTTTTCCTCTCCTTTGTTAAAAGAAATTGAAGTCTGCTTTTAGTAAAGTGTTAGAAAAATCTCAGGAATTATCCATCATGCTGACATACTCTACGCATAGCTAGTAGCTGTAAGAAAGTGGGTTTCAATGACTGATCTGAATTCTGAGACTATCTCTTCTAAGATGGCCCTCAGCCCAAGCTGCAGACTGAAATAATCTGAGCTATTTGAAAAAAAGAAAATAAAATGCATATCCAGGTCCTACCCTAGAATAACTCCACCAGCTCTCAGACACCAGTGTGTTTTATAATGACCTCAGCTGATTGTAAAGCACAATGCCATTTCCAGGAGCAACATGTCTCCCAGTACTGATTAAGATCAAGTACACAACAATTTCTGATGCAACATGAAAAAAGTTAGCCAGAGAAAATTTAAGCTATGGTATCAGAACTGTTTAGTATTGATTATTGGGAAAAGGTACCAAATTACCCTTTTCAGGCAGTGACTCATTTCCTTGTTTCTGTTTTTCTATTTAACCATGAGAGATTTCAAAACAATTGTGTTTATCTACAATTCTACCCTTTTTTCCTGAGTCCATTCCAAAGAAACTAGCAGTATTTGGTGCCTTCTGCTATCACTGGCTAATGTTTGCACTCTAGACAACGTTACAACCTGCAGCACATTCCCTCTTCAACATGGCCTGTGGCTTTAAAAATAGCAACAGCTGGGGCTGGAGAAGGGCTCAGTGGTTAAGAGCTCTAGCTACTCTTGAAGAGGGACCTGGTCCAATTCTCAGTACCCACATGGCAGCTATCAGCCATTAAACTCCAGTTCCAGGACCTCTGGTGCTCTCTTCTGGCCTCTACAGGTATTGCATGTATGAGGTGCACTTAGAAACACACAGGCAAAATACTCATACACACAAACTAACCCTTAAAAAGGTATAATTGAAAACATCAATAGCTTGTGTTTTCTCAATGTCTGCATGATATTTTAAGTATTTATATGTATTAATACTTAACAACAATGTTATGAGCAAGTGCTATTCTTATGCTTGTTTTTCATATGAGAAAACACAGACATAAATGGGTAAAGTCAGTAAGTCCTACACGGTTGAAAATGCATCCTAATTGTCTAGCAGGCAAGCCCCTGCCTATCCCTATATCACTCCTCTTCTAACTTAACAACTGGAAGTGTTTGTTTCATTAGACAATGACACTGCTCATGCTGATAGGTGCTGTGCACTGCTGTAAAGTTCTGCATATGTACCATCCATTTGATCCTCACTCTAATGTGATGATTAGCCATATTTAGTCACAAAAAATGAAATGATGGTATAGGGAGATAATACTAGCCCAAAATCACAGAGGTAGAGATGGGTAGAGCCTGATCTCAGAGCTGAAGTAGGCACAGACAGCCAGGGACTCAAAGCTGGGTCCACAAGATCAGGGGGTTATAAGGCATTATCCAGAAGCAGGAAGGGGCTTAGAACTCACCTCATGGTCCTGAAATTTGTTTTTCGAATATTTTATTTATTATATTTCAAATATTTTATTATTTTAACAATATTTTATTATGTATATGAGTCTCTAGTGTTTGCCTGTATTTTTAGCACTTATAACTCTAAACTTACTGCACCAAGTAAGTTAATATAAATATGGAGTAGTTATAAATGGTTGTGCTATGGTTTGAATCTGAAATGTCCCTCACAGGCTCTTGTGTTTGAATATTTTGTCCTCAGCTGGCTGCACTGCTGTGGGACTGTGGCATAGAGAGCAGAAGGGGGTCACTGGGGGTGGGTCTTAAAGGTGGCATTTGCTTCTTGTTCTGAATTTAGCACTCTACTATCTGATCCACCAAGATGAAAGAAGCAGATGAAAGGCCCTGCTCCCATGGGCCAAGTTGCCCAGTTTTCACACATTCCTCATCATAAAGGACTGTTTCCTCTCTGAACCTGTGAGCCAAAAAACAAAACAAAACCCTCTCCATCCTTAGGTTGCTTCTGTCAGGTGTTTTGTTACAGTAAGAAAGTAACAAGAAGGGCATATCAGTACTGTGACTGACCATCTCAATTTTCTCCAGACTGAGAGCATACACAGCAGCTCGAAGATGAGGAAGATCCCAAGCAATCTGGACAAACTGATCACCTTCACAGAGCTTTGCCTTTGTGTGACCCAGAAGTTCCTCTGACCCTATGACAAGCCATAGTCCCACCTCCTTCCCACGCTCAGCAGGAGTCAAGCCCATTCCCTCTCCCATCCAACTGGTTGACCTTAGCTGCATGAAGGGGAGGGACTATGGATGTATAAGCTGAGAAAAGTGCGAGGCTGGTCTCTTGCCGTTTTGTGTGGCTGTCGGGAAGCCACAAGATTTATGTTTGGGTGTGGACTTTTGAGCACAGCCACGAATGGGGAGGTGCCCACTCGTCTGTAAGTAAACCAGCGCCCCAAGCTCAGTTCGCAAGTCCAATAAACTCTTTAAGATTCTCCAAACGGTGGTTTTAGAGAATTCTTGCCTCAGATTGTCATAAGCACAGTGGGAGGAGGGAATGGGACACCAGATGCGTCTTCCAGCAGTGAATTTGACTTTACACTTTGACACTGAAATGGCTTCATAGATGTTCAAAACATTTGGAATCAGAAACTTCTATGTGAACTGAATACAGTATTTGTCACTGGTGCTGTAAACATGTGATGTTTGCACATGGTGAAGAGAGACCTGGGAAGAAGAAAATGTACAGCATATTCTCTGTCACTTGAAATCTAATCACACAGTTTCTTAAAGGCCTGCCTTCTTCCTTTCTCTCTTCCCCTTTCCTTTTTGAGTGCTTCACTATTTCTTTAAAGAAGCACCAGGGTCAACAAGGGCAGTATTAGCTCCAGGGCACTGGTTTTTTGTTTTTTTCCACCTCCTCATCTGGCCTTTTTCTCGCTCATTCCAGTAGCCTGTCAATTAAGATGCAGCTTGGATTCTATTATTAGACTTAAATTCACTTTTACTTTTTGCTCGCTCAGTATTATTCCTTAACATTTTTATGGCAAATGAAAATGTCCAACATTTACTAGATATTACATACTATGTTCAAGACTATCCATTAATTTGTATAATTTTCATAAAACCTTAAGATAGAAGTAATAAATTTGTTATTTACCAATTAGAGAGGTTAAGCAGCTTGCCCAACATCATGTAGCTGACTGAAGGTGATGTCAGGATGCAAATCCAGGTTCTCTGACTCTGCACCAATGTCTCTAAACCCAGCACACTCTCTGTACCATGCCAATGGTTACTGAAGATTTGAAAGAAACCTAATGAACCTTTGAAACCACATACTATCATCACCTCATCAGGTGAGGTGACTAGATGTTGAGAAAATTCTCACCAGTCTGTGTTGGGAAGATTCTCATCGGTTTGTCAGATACTATGTCAGACATATTTCCACAGCTGTATTTCCCATGCCTCCTCTGGCTCTTCCTTCTTGTTTGTGTGCCTTTCATCTACTCAGTAACAAAATGGTAGAACCCAAGTGTCATTCCTGACCCCTTCCTCTTTTTCTCTTGGGCAATCTGATCTTTGTTCATATGTCACAAATGTACACCTTCAAACTCTCTCTTCCAAGCTGCAGACCCATAGATCCAGCTGACTGCTTGTCCTCATCTTGGTTGTCTCTTGGCGCTTCATCTCAAGCATACTGGAAATCAAGCTAAATGAACTGTTCACTGTATATTCTTGCCTGCTAGAGCTGGAAAATCTGGTTCTTTCTAGTGTTCTCCATGATACGGATGCTACCTCTTCCTGTTATGCAAGCTGTGAATCTGGGAGCAATCTTCATAATGTCCTCATCTAATTCATGACAAATAGTATTAGTCTTTTCTGGGCAACTTACCAAGTTTTGTAACTGATCCACCCACACACATCCATTCTGGCTTCCCTACCATTCTTTTTTACAGCCTAAGCAAATATTTTAAAATCATATCTGACCACATCAGCAGAATTGTTCCCCTACCTCTCTCCTTAGCTTCATCTCACACCAGAGTTATCCTATTCAATCATATCAGTCAGAATTGTAGCAAGAATTGAATGGAGGGGCTGGAGAGACAGCTCAGCGGTTAAAAATACGTGCTGCTTCTCCAGAGGACCTGAGTTCACTTCCCAGGGCCCAGATCAAGGACTCACAATAGCCTGTAACTCCAGCTCCAGGGGATCCAATACCTTCTTTTGGCTTTAACAGACACCGTTCTCACATGCCCATACCCACACACAGACAGAAATATACACATAATTAAAAATAAAGTCTTGAAAAGTTGAATGGAATGATCAAGTTGGATAATTTGAGGAAAATTTAAGGATTTTGAGTTCATGTCCTAAGTTATTGCTAGTAGTAATGAGACACTAGGACCAACTGATGCCTAAAGGGCAAGAGAAGGAATAGTTAACATGGCCAGGAGATAGCATCTGGGAATGCTGGCCGACAACAGGAGCTGTAGCCACAATGACCTGCCAGGAAGGGGCCAGGGAAACACACTCTCGGGCCCATTCAGCTCATAATCAGTTTGCTGAGTCTACCCTTCACTCTACAATAGTGCTTCTCACTAACTAAACAAACTGAGGCAGGAGAAAGCCTTATCACAGCCTCCAGGGGCCAGACCTGCAGAGACAATTTTAAAATATATATAGCAATATATTAATATAGCTTATATATTATGTACAATAGATTATATGTAATATATAGCTATATATATATATATAGCATAAGCAATAAATCACAAATTGTGAATCCTGGGTTCACGGTACCTACCGAGTATAGTGTGTGCCTCTGGATTAGGACTTACCGGATACACACAAAGTTATTGGCTGTAATAGGGGTTATATTTATTCATTATCATCATTAAACCCTTCTGCTAGGCAATCTGTCCCTTGTCTGTACTAGCCACCCCAACTGAGGACTGTTCCTTCTCAGCCTGGCCTAACCAGTTTAGGGGTTACTCCTCTGCCTCCCTCCCCTTACCTCTTTACTATCTTACTGCTTATCTGTGAAAAAATTGCTTTTCTTTTTATGCTAATGAAGGAAATATTTCTTCACTTTTTCTTTTTTGTTAACCTATTAGGCATATGTTGTTATTCTTTATTTTTAAACAACAAAAATATATTTATGAAAGCAAAATACCATATAAAACATTAATATTGAAACAAGGTGAGATGTTTAGATTAATATTGACGTACTCCTAAAGAAACATGCACCAGATGTTTTATAAATGTCAGATATTCAAATTGTAAATTCTTGTGGGAAATGACTATGCTGCCTATATTTAGAATATTTAGGAATACTTTCAAGATTGCTGCTTCTAGAAATTTGGTGGATTAGCCATCTTGCAGATCTCCTCGGCTACACCTAGAAATACTGCCAAAAGTAAAATAAACAACTTCCAAAATACATAGTCTCACTATAAAACAGAAGAAACCCACAGGCTTCTAGTATGAAGAGAGAAGAAGTCTGAGTGATGGCGGTGCCTTCAGGCTGTCCTGTGGCATCGGAAGATGTAGGGGTTTGAGGTCTGTGGAGGAGACCTGCAATCAGAGAGTCCTGACACAGTGAGAAACTGGAAATGAGGCCCCTTATAAAGGCCAGACTCTCAAAAGCCAGCATTTCTCCTTCTCTTTCTGGAACAATACTATGTAAAGTTCTTTTTTAAAAAGTACAAACTAAGATTATATATTGTTTCCAGATACAAAATATCAATGTCTTTGGGGAGGAGATGAGTGTGGTCGAGTAAGGCTGTACCTAGGTGCAATGTTTAGTTTAAGACATGTCCATGTCCACTGGGGTGTCATACTATTTTTTGTGTTCGTGAAAAGCTTTTCAATGAAAAGAAATAAGGAATAAAATGAGTTCACAAACAGCATATATAGTATTTGTGTAGACCTCCTGGCAGATGTGTGCTAAAATACAGAGTAAAGCAAATTGCAGAAGAATTTACGGTTTATATGGTGCTGGGGCCAGAACCCAGGACACTTCATGCCTGCTAGGCAAACATGTTACCAATTGTGCCACAAGTTTATTTGTTTGTTTTGGCCTTTTGAGACAGGGTCTCTCTGTAGTCACAGCTAAGTTGGCTTCATTATGGAGACCAGGTTGGCCTTGAACTCACAGAGATCCACTTGCCTCTGCCTCCCAAATAATGCTGTAAAATTAGATCACTTTGAAACTCGTGAATGAAAGGTGCTATATAAATGTAAATACAAAAGATTCTTACCAAAATACAAATGTTGCACAACAGGAATATTAAAATCTATTCTCTAGACTTTGGGAAAAAAGTACATGTGTATAATAAAATTATAAAGAAATATGAGACTGCTAAGCACTAAATTAATTTAATGGCTACAAGGAAGGTGGAGAAGAGCCTAAGAGGACTACACTGCACTAATCTAATATTGTTGGCAACAAATTGGCTCCTGTGTTAGGTGGCACTGCATGCATATTGGTTATGTTACTCTTTATTCACTTATAATTTTTAAATATCATAAATAAACTTTAAAACACTTTAAATGAAATGGTTTATTGTCATAATCTTAGGAACAGCAGTTACGTATGCCCAAGGCCTACGTGAAGCTGGTTGTCTGATACTAGGTTATCTCAAAAGTCAGGATTTCTCCTTTTCTTTCTAGAAGAATGTTATATTACTTATCATTTAGATCTAGCGAGTAACCTCCTCTTCCTATTCTCTCTATATCAATGTTTTATAATAATGTAACAACTTATTTTATAAATAAATTTTTAGAGAACCTACTATGTTCCAGGTCCTGTTCTACACCCTGGAAATACAACAGTGGTTAAGACAGACTGAAACATAGTCTAGTTTATATCAGATTTAGACAATATCAAGGAAGTCCATATTTTACAGGAAAATTTGCTGAGATATTTCTCTTATTTGTTATCAGTGGAGCTAATTGGTGAGCTGGTTGGGAGTGCTAAAAGGCTCTTTGGACTTATTTCTGAAAATGCTGTACATTGTCAAATAAGCTTAAGTATAGAAATCAGGACCATAAGCTGTATCAGCATCTGAATAAGTACACGTGTGGTCACCACCTCATACACTGTCTGGATAGACTGGGTTGGCCTGATGAGATATTCTTGACACTATTGAGGTTTAGATGAAAGGTCTTAGAGAACAGCTAAGAACCAGCTACTGTACCTGATAGGCGACACTTATCACCTCGATCCTAAGTATTGATTGTGGTTTCACTACACACTATCTTGTTGAACAATCACAAACTTTTCTTTCAAAGAAGGAAGAGAGTAGAGTCATGCTTTCTTAGAAATACATCTATTCATCTGTTGTTACTTAACAGGCTGCCTTACAATGTCTTAAATGTTTTAAACATTAAGTTCAAAATCTGTGGGTTAGGAATTTGGCCAAGGCTCTGCAAAGCAATTCTTATACCTAATGGAGCATTGATTTGGTCAGTCAGTGAACA